GAAGTTGCAGTAATAGTAGTAGTAGTAGTAATAGTAGTAATGGTAGTAGTAGTAGTAGTAGTAGTAGTAGTAGTCGTAGTAGTAGTAGTAGTAGTAGTAGTAGTAGTAGTAGTAGTAGTAGTAGTAGTAGTAGTAGTAGTGATAGTAGTAGTACCAATCGTAGCCGTAGTCGTAGTCGTAGTCGTAGCAGTAGTAGCAGCAGTAGTAGTAGTCGTAGTAATAGTAGTAGTAGTAGTAGTAGCTGTAGTACTCGTACTAGTACTAGTCGCAGTAGTGGTAGTAGTAGTACTAGTACTAGTAACAGTAGTAGTAGTAGTAGTAGTAGTAGTAGTAGTAGGCAATAGTAGTAGCACTAATAGTAGTAGTAGCCTTCGTAGTAGTAGTAGTAATAGTAGTAGTAGTAGTAGTAGTAGTAGTAGTAGCGGTCGTGGTCATACGAATACAGCATCTTCCATGGCCCTGCCACACGTGGGATGATGATGCTGTTCCTTAAACATAAGCATATAGCAACGTCGCTTCGTAACTGTCCCCCGCGATAATCAAGTTCGGCCTTGCCGCCCCTCTGCCCCGACCAACTCTGTCTTGGCCAGAGATACTCGACTCTCAATCGTGAAGCGGGGGGGATGAAGAATTATCTGGGGCATGAGGTTAGGACTCTTGAGAATCTTGGAACATATCATTATCTTGACTTCTTGCTCCTTTGAGTGTGATGCCCACGTGGTCTGAAGTCTGAACGGCATGTGCTGACCTGTCTTGTTAGCATGCCCTATCGGCATGTGTCGGCTTGGCGAAGCGGGGCGGTCCAATTCAGCGGCCTGCCTGTATATAAATGCGCCACTTGATGAACACGTAGTAAAGAATCCAAACACACTTACAAGTTATGGTTTGTGGAAGCCTGTGAAATTCTCAACGGAGCAGATCCGCGAATTGCTGGAATTATTCATGGGCGCTTCCAAACGCTCTTGGGGTGTGCTGCGTCTAATAGTCAATAGTCTTAGCCACCGAGGTTGCGCCAGGCGAGGGGCTCGGGACCTGTGCCATCCAAGACGGCCCCGCAATATCAAGACCGCCCCCTGAAGCCCCAAAGAAGCCCCCAAGAAGACCTCTGGAGGTCAAAGGCTTCGTGAAGACCCCAACCGAACCCCAAAGGCACGGTGGCGTGATGGGCCGCCGGCCACTAAGAGCACAAGTATATTTCGGACAGGGACCCCATAATCACAGCCTGGATGCCGCATAGCGCTCCGCATATATGCTTAGCTGCATCTATCCCACCTTGTCTATGCCCATCGGTGAAAAGATGTAGCGGTGCTGCTCGTCGACTAGCTGCACATTGCAATTACAGCTTGGATGACTACATATGCTAACGCTCCTCAATATCCTCCCTACGCTCCCTCCTCGTATCTCTTCTCCTGCATTCACCCCTTATCCTCCTGCTGCTAATTATGTTGCTCTTCCTCTTGCTCCTCCTCCTCATTCCCACTATTCTCGGCGTTTCCCTTCCCCCCCCCATCCCCACACCCCGACGTCGCGATTTGTTCGCAAAGTCGACCCCCGGAGGTCTGGACCCCTTCCCTGGGACCGGCTTTTCATCCCGAGTTGTTTTTTTACGGTCCCGAGGCCTGGTGAGGACCCCCTGGAGGCCGAAAACTGTACAAAAGCGTCCGCCGCGATCTTTATTTGCAGGGTCCTCCTTCCGCTCCTGCTGCTCCTCCTCCTCCCCCTCCTCACTTCGCTAATCCTCCTCCCGCTCCTACCCGGCGGCTCTACAGGGACCACCCCCGCAGCCTCTGTGCCCACGACCGCGCCACCATGCCCCAAGCCAGCCTCTCGTGGAAGCCGGCTCCACGGGGGCACTCTCGGGCAGCGGCAGAAGAGCAGCAGAGCAGGAGGAACGGCGGGAAGGAGCAGAGGGGGGAGGAGAAGCGGGCGGCACGGCGACACTGTCAAGGGAGCGGGCCTCCTGCTCTCGTTATCCTCTGCCCGTACCTCTGGCTCTCATCCTCTTGTTTCCGAGTGCATCCCCTCGACATTCTCCCCCTGCTCCTCCTCACCACCCTACTTCCCATTCTGCTGTTGCTCGTGCAGCTGTTCCTTGTCCTCCTCTTCCTCCTCCTCCTCCTCCTCCTCCTCCTCCTCCTCGTGCTCCTCCAGATGACTCGTCTACCCCTGTCCATGGTCATATTCCAGTTCCTGCTCCTCTCTGTCCCACCTCCCATTTGATCCTCACCCTCATGCTGCTCCTCCAGCTCCTTCTCCTTTTGTTCTCTTCCTCCTTTCATCCCCCTCCTCCTCCTGCTCCTCATCCTCCTCCTCTTCCTCCCCCTCCTACTTCTGCTACCCTGCTCCTCGCCCTTTTTTCCTCTTCCTCCTTACCTTCCTCCGCCTGCTGCTGCTGCTCCCTTTTTCTCGCCATCCATTTCCTCTTGCTCACGATCCTAGAGGCATCACAGATGGGGCCCGAATAAACGGGGTCGGAGGATCGCGCCGCATCGCCGATACATCGGCGATGCATCGCCGATGCATCGGCGCTGCATCCAAGACACCAGCGATGCACCAGCGCCATCGGCGTGAAGAAAATCGGGCCCCACATCGAGCAGCATCGCCGATGCATCGACGATGCGGCGCGACCCTCCGATCCCATCTACTTCGACCCCATCTGGGAGGCCTAGAGACTTTGGAGGAGGAGGAGGAGGAGGAGGAGGAGGAGGAGGAGGAGAGGGATGAGAAGGAAGAGGAGGAAAAAGGGGGAGGAGGAGGATGTGGAGACAAGACAAGACAAGAAACCCTCGGATCCATAGGGTGCATCATGACTGCAAGCACACATTACGACATGCAAACAGCGTGCAAGCGAACAAATGACTGGATCTGGGTGGCCTTCAATGGCGAGCTGCTTGCCCGCCCTGCAGGTGGGGGGCACTCGGGCCAAAGCCTCGCCCAGGCGGTGCTGACCGCTCGAGGGGTGGCCTGGCACTGTCTTCCCGTCCATCGGAGCGAAACTCAAAATCAGATTAGGAGGTGAAACCGACCCCCAGGACAAGCTAGGTTCTGGGACCCTGGGAAGGAGGAACGAGAGTCAATGCGGAGGCGGAGGAGGGCCCCGAAGGCCCCGCACGCTTGGTTCTAACACGTCCTGGGGGTTTAGCTCTTGGCTGCGCTACAAAAGCCCTACCCCTGTCCTGAGACATTCCTCGGAGCAGAAAACGATCCTCGCCCCTGGTCTTCTCAAGCGAGAAACTCTTCGGCCCCTCGCTGCTGGCGCCTAAGACTGGCAGCTCTAGATCCCCACGAGCCTGCCGCTCCAAGAAACGGCGACTACCCACGAATGCTGGCGGAACGGGGGCGCTAGCCCTACTCTTTGGATTCACGGCGCCCCCACCCACAGGACGAGGCGCTTCAGCAGCTCTCATTTTTGAAACCGCTCCAACAATCGGGCCGCATCCCGTCCGAGTAATCCTTTCGGTACACCCCCATGTTTGCGCACTCCCCCATTCACCTTCAGATAAGCTTCGATCGCCTCCTCCAAACACCGATACTTCACGTCGACGTCGGGGGTGATCCGAAACAGCTCTGGTTGGTTCTCGACTTTTTTTTGTGGGGCGGATGCGAAAGGCACGAACTTCGTTGGCTAACTCGACCGCCGACTTTTTCATCACGACGGACGTCCAGTAATCCTCGAGCGTCTTCTTTGCCTCTGCTGGACAGTTCGGGTCCGTGCCCATCCCGTGGGTGAATGCATTACATACGTGCAGAACTGGGGGGCCCAGATCCTCCTTCATGCCTGCCTCCGACTCCTTCATCTTCTGAACTTGGTTATGGTTGGCCACTCCCGCGGCCTTGGCTGCACGCAGTGCGAGGTTCGTCACGGAGATCAGCCACGTCTGGAAAACTAACCCGCACACCTCGCGCAGCTCCGCTGCAATGCTCAACGCGAGCCTGGCCAAAATGACGATGATTTGCTTGAGAATCACCTGCTTGCCACCGCCTTTGGCTGACTGTGAAGCTTGCTCCACCAGCCCCTCGGCTGCGTCTCCAAAGCGCCTTTTCTTCTGCCTCGGCTCCTCGCCCGCGATCATCCAAGCGGGCTCCACATCCATGGCTCGGAGGAAGTCGGGGAATTTTCTCCAGATGCGTGCAAAAGGTGCTCTTGCAAATGCCCGAACCATCCAGCAACATACGGACACAATGGGCATGCTAGAGATGACGGCACACGAATGTCACGAAGGTTACGTGTCGCATCGGCAGCACACTCTCCTCGTCTGAGACTCTGCGAAAGATGGCGACGACAACTCTCACGGTGTGCAAATACTATGCCATAGACACAACGTTGGATCGACACAGGCATGACGTGCGCAAGCTCTTGAAACCCGTGATGTGCTATGATATGTGTGTACCACGCGTCGATCTCGTAATATGCGCCCACAGACCTCCCCCGAGGGACCCCCGAGAGAACACCGATAAACACCCTCACAAACATCATCCTGAAGCATCCCTGGAACTTCCTCTGCGTCCAGAAACTCGACAGGTGGAACCTGAACCCCAAGCACTCGCGATCGAAGTTACCGGGGGTCGATCCTGCAAAACTCCTCGCTAAACTCGGGATCAGACAAGGCAAGAAAAACTCGATCTTCCATTCGTTGAAGAAGAGACGCGCCCTCATCCAAATCAGCAAGGGCACGAAAATCAGCAAGCAATTGGCGAGCCCACGGCGAGGCCCATCTCGTCAACCTACCCTCAGGCGACAGTACTGGATGAGCAACTTCGAAATGCACAAAGAGAGCAGTGAGGACCTGTTGATTGGCCATCGGTGCACGCGACAGAGACTGCCAGTAACGCAAGCGACGCATAACAGGCTCCGTATCCAACGGAACAAGTCGCCACCAGCGTAGCACCGCAGCAGAGGTCGAGGATGTGGAGGAGGAGGAGGAGGAGGAGGAGGCGGAGGCGGAGGAGGAGGAAGATTATCTTCCTCCCGCTCCTCCCCGCCCCCGTCCCCCGCAGGCCTGCGCGCTGACGCGGCGCACGGGGCTCGGCGAGACGTCGACTCCGTGCATGCTCTTGCGGGTCGCCATCCCCCTGGGCCGGCCAAGCCCGAGACGCGGCGGGGAGCGATGGGAAGTGGTGGCCGGCGGGGCGGTGGGCACCCCCTCCTCCTCCCCCCTCCTCCTGTGTCTTCTGGCTCCTCGTCCCGGTGGTGCTGTTCCTCCGCCTCCGCCTCCTTCCCCTCCCGTTCGTCCCCTTCCCTCCCCCTCCCTCGCTCCTCCCAAATCCCCTCCCGCCCCGTCTTCTCACGGTCCCCACCCCCCCTCCTGCTCCTCACCCTCCTCTCCCTGATCATCTTCTCCTCACCCCTCCTCCCTGTCTCATTCTCCTGCTCCCCCTCACGTTCCTCTCCCTCATCCTCCGCACTCTCGAGCCGCGCCAACCCGGATGGCCCACGATTGGCTGAAGAAGTTTCTAATCGACAATTTGCGGTTCGACGGTGTTCGAAGGGCGCCGCGTACATCCGCCTCCCCCCCCCCGCCGCGCGGCTCCGCACAGGTGACTTGGTCGCGCCCTTCCTCATGAGCAATCACACCAGCCCTTTGGGCGGGGGTTGCTTAGAACGCTTCTTCTTCTTCTTCTTCCCATTCCCCCCTCCCCCTGTCTCCTCCTATGTGTCTGGACGGTGGGGTGCGGGGAGGTACCAGAGGGCCCTTTTTGTCCCAATATGACCTCCAGAGGTCCCACGAAATGTATGATGGTTCCAGGTGGACTCAAAGATACCCCCAACATGACCATAGACTGCATAATCACCGCTCCAAATAGCCACATAACGTCCATAAGATGCTACCAATACGCTCAAACCCTTCCCAGACATCAACAAACAATTCAAGTGTGAATTATTTCCCGTTCGCTCCCGATGTAAACCTTTCGAGGCCTCAAGATTGCACCATGATGGCCAAGCGAGCCCCCGGAGGGGCCCATGAGGACCCCACGACGGCCTCAAGAATGCCAGAGAGAGCCCCACGAAGAGCTTGCTCGGCTCGAAAAGGGCAAAACTATCGGCCCACCATACCTGGCTCACATCCCAAACTAATGAAACACCAGTTGTGTGTTGACTGAAGATTCTTTCTCGCTGCGCCAGCCAAGCCGTCGCGTGCACGTCCTCGCGACGCTGAGCAGGCACAGGCATCCGAAGGACTTCGGCCATGCTCGTGGGCGCGCGCGCAGAGGGTGAGACGGGAGCAATTATGTGAAGCAGTGGGCCCGCTGAGCACTGCAGGGAACTGAACAACTTAGAGCTCCCGTGTCGTCCAGCGTGCGGCCCTCGGCTTACCGAGCGCTGTCTGGCAGGCGCGGCCGCGTCGTCCGACGCACGTAGTGAGTCTAGTGGCCAGCTCTAGCCTCACAACCACCGTAGCTCGGGATTGGCTGGCCCCACAGCCCCTGGCCTGCGCCGTGTTCCATTTCCGCGACACGTCTGGCCGTGGCGTCGAATGGTGGTTTGTGTTTCTTCCGGTCGCCAGCGCAACATCGCTGCCGAAAAGAGAAGGTCTGTAACTCCTCGCCGTGGCCGTCGCCTGCCATACCGTCGTCTTGTCTGCCGTCGCCTGTCATACCATCGCCGTGCCCCAAAAGGGCGACGGCAGCGATGGCAGACATGGCGAAGATGGCGACGCATATGCTGAGCATTGCGTAGTACGTACACCTGTACTTCACAATTCGCCAGCCCAACGGGCCAGAGGCGTGCTAAGATCTCCGGTTACTGGTAAACAGTATTTCTGGTTCGGGCGCGCGTGGCGGCCCCTGGATCAAAAGTACCCCGAGAGGAGCCCGGGACACGCCCGGGACACTCCCCCAGATCCTCCAGGATCGCCCCAAGAGGGCCCCAAGAGGCCCCCAACACAATCCAAGAGAGGTCCGAGACGCCCGAAGATCGCTCCACGGCGCCCAAGATGGCATCCAGACGGCCCAACAGGTCTCCAAGATGACTCAACAAGCCTCCAAGATGCCCCAATAGGCCTCCAGGAGCACTCCCAAGAGGGCCCCAAGAGGCAACAATCAATGTTTTTTTCTTAGGTTTTGGACAGATTTGGGCGTTTCAAACTTTTCGGTTCCCCGACGCCCCTAAACGGCTCAAGAGGCCTCCAAGATCGCCCCAAGAGGGCCCCAAGACGGCTTCAAGACGGCCCCAGAGGCCTCCAAGACGGCCCAAGAGGGCCCCAAGAACGCCCCCAACACGGTCCAAGAGAGGTCCGAGACGCCCGAATATCGCTCCACGACGCCCAAGATGGCCTCCAGACGGCCCAAGACGTCTCCAAGATGACCCAAGAAGCCTCCAAGATCCCCAGGAGGTCTCCAAGTGCATTCCCAAGAAGGCCCCAAGAGGCAAACAAACAATGTTTTTCCATAGGTCTTGGACAGATTTGGGCGTTTCAAACTTTTCGGTTCCCCGACGCCCCTAAACGGCTCAAGAGGCCTCCAAGATCGCCCCAAGAGGGCCCAAGAGGCCCCCAAGAGGCTCCAAGATGGCCCAAGAGGCCTCCAAGACGGCCCAAGAGGGCCCCAAGAACGCTTCAAGAACGCCCCAAGAGGGGGTTCACGAAACAGAATTTCGAGCTCTCGGCCCTTAGAGGCTCCCGGGAGGCCCCAAGACGCCCCCAAAGGCCCCAAGAGGCCCCCAAGATGCCCTCAAGAGGCCTCAAGAGGCCTCCAAAAGACCCTCTAGAGGCCTCCATAAAACCCTCAGGAGGCCCCCAGGACGCCTCCAAGACTCCAGCCAGAAGCGACTTGGGAAACGCGTTCGGTCTCCAGCCTCGAGCCTCGACCCTCCACGACGACGACGACGCCGGCGGGCGGCGGCGGCGGGAGGCGGCGGCGGCGACGACGACGACGACAAAGGCGCTCCCCATCGCTCCTCCTCCCCCTCCTCCTTCCTCCTCCTCCTCCTCCTCCTCTTCCTCCTCCTCCTCCTTCCTCCTCCTCCTCCTCCTCCTCCCTCCTCCCTCCTCCCCCTCCTCCTCCTTCTCCTCCTCCTCCTCCTCCTCCTCCTCCTCCTCCTCCTCCTCCTCCTCCTCCCCCTCTCTCCTCCTCCTCCTGGCGAGGAGGGCACGGTGCGCCAACCCTCCTGGGACCAGGACGGGCCTCGCCAGGATCGGCGCGGGTGTGCAGCTGACGCCCACCTCCGCCTCTTTGTAGAGAGCAGGAAATCCACCCTCACAATAATCACACCGACACGCGAAGCCGCCCCAAGAGGCCCCAAAAAGCCCCCCAAGAGGCCCTGGGGGCCCCCAAGACGCCGCCAAGGAGCCCCAAGAGACCCCCAAGAGGTCCCCAAGAGGCCCCCAAGAGTCCCTAAAGAGGGTTCAAGGGCTGGCGGAATGAGCGAAGCGATTAAATAAAGCCAAACATCGTCGCAATCACAACTTGAAACTCAATCCAACTGATCGATGCAATGATGTATGGTATCAATAATGCGACTGTCTTGACGGCTATATGGAACACGAGGGACACGGGCTCCGGGCGCTCTTCGTCCAGGAGCACAACCGGACTTGTGACGAACACATGTACGCCAACGTGCATGATGCATCGTAAAACACCGTAGAGGATGACAACACCGATGATCACCTTCACAAAGATAATCTGCTCGAGGACGAGATCAGGAGAGTGCAACTTTCCATCAAAATCGAGCCATTTGGCCAGATGCTGCAACGCTTGGCGCGATATGAACGGGAATATTTCATTTAGGAAAAACGTCTATGCCTTCTGCAATTTCTCGGAAATTACGATGTCGGCCAGATTGAATACCTTGCTCCCTGCTGGTCCAGAGGCAATCGAATCAATTAGCGCAAGACCTTCCTTGTAGGCCAACGTCACGCGATCCTGCCCAGGCATCACCGCGAAGAGGATAATCAAACATCCGATTGTCAGAAGCGCGTCGAGAAATATGTGGACGCAGACCACAGCGGTAGCCATGACCGAGATCCTCCTTTGCTTCCGAATATGGTTGCCAAGTCCACCAACAGCGTTAAGCAATGCACCGCAGCCTGTGCCAAAAGCCACGCAACTCTCGGGTTATGATACGTCACGATAAAGGCCCAGTCACCTCCTGCTCCGTTCCATTGTTCTCCCATTGCCTTGCTCTCGCCGTCGCGGATGAAATTGTCAAAATACGTGGAGGTCAGCTTCATTGGCTCGAGAGCTGGCATACGATCGCGCACTGTTTGCGCAAGTAGTTCTGCGGCAAGTTGCCGAACGCTTACCTGCATCGCAGACAGATCCTGAAATTGTCGCACATCTTGCATACTTGTAGCAACCCAAGATGTCGTAGCCAAGAACTCCTTCAATGTGTCACTTCTCGGATCTGCCTGTGGTCAGCGGGGCATCTGTCATCTCCGAGTGTCTTTCCCAGCAGTGCGATGGTTTTCTCCTGGAACAGAATAAGCTCACTCGTTCCTGCTTGTTTCCACTTGGGGTACAGCTGCACAGCGTGCAACTCGGGATGTTCTTGCATGACTCTGCGGTGAAAGTCACGATCAACGGTCATTTGCATCTGAATACCGTACTGGCAAATGGATGTCTGCGCGACGCCTCGGAGAGCGACAAAAACTGATACTGCCGCACACGGTAAACCTCTCCATAACGCATTGCGGCGACGGAGTTCTCGAACGTCGGGTGCTCCCCCCTTGATGTAGTCTTGTGCCTGTGTAACGACCAAGGCTGGAGTGTCCAAATCGCATGCAACCAGCGCACAGAAGACGAGTCGGTTGTCACGGTAAAAATACAAGACGCCCAACACGTTCGAAATTCCGATGCCCAAGAGGCCAACGAAAACCGTAATGAACCAGAAACTGGATGTCGATGCCACCGCTGCGGGGCCCTCAGCGTGGGCCTGGAGCTGCAAATAGATTTCATGCAAGATGGAAAACCACTGGTATAGCCAAGCCCACATCAAACATGATAGATCGACACAGCTCAGTACATATGCAAACATACCTATGCCCACCTGGGGAAATATGTATACGTAACTTGACGAGAGAACCGGGCAATGAACACCGGACGTTTAGCCTGTAGAATTAGAAACGTCTCTTGGG